GTCAGCATGGAACGAAACGGAATAGCAGACAAAGTGCTCGGCCTGTACTGGAACACGAAAGAAGATACGTTCGGATTCCACACACAGTTTCATCGCGTGTCTCAAGAAGTACTGAACAGAGCGCGTGCACCAACCAAGCGGGAATTACTGCGCATCGTTATGGCGGTGTTTGATCCGTTTTGTATGTTGTCTAACTTCTTAATTATTACTAAACTTCTAATTCAAGAGACCTGGAAGAGCGAAATAGAATGGGACGACACTCTTCCGAAGAAGCTGGGCAGGAAGTGGTCACAATGGTGGCAAGAGTTCGACAGCGTGAGGCAATTCACGATTCCACGATGTTACTCGCCATACGTCGCAAGCATCGGTAAAGTCGAGGTGCACATGTTTGTCGACGCAAGTCAAGTTGCGTTTGCTGCGGTGGGTTACTTGCGAGTTCTCCATGAAGGAAACGTTGACGTCAGCTTCGTAATGGGAAAATCGCGTACCGCTCCGACGAAGCTCATGTCGATCCCGCGCCTAGAACTGCAGTCAGCTGTCCTGGGCACCCGTCTGTTCAAATTAATCCAAGAATCCCACGAGTTCACGATCGAGCGGGCGGTATTCTGGAGCGACTCGCAAACCGTTTTGCAGTGGATACATTCATCGCAGAGGAAATACAAGGCGTTTGTTGGCCATCGCATATCCGAAATACTTACCTCCACTGCCCCGGAACAATGGCGATGGGTGCCAACTGGGGAAAATGCTGCAGACGCTGCAACGCGCCCATCATGTCCACCGAAATTCGACACCAATAACCGTTGGGTAAAGGGTCCCGACTTCTTAAAGTACCACGAGCAGTATTGGCCTTCCCTAACACTACAACCGGAATGTGTCCTACCAGAAGAAATTAAGACCGAAGCGATACTACTGGTGCAGCCACGCAACTCGGTCATAGACTTCTCAAGATTTGGTTCGTTTCTGAAGCTGCGACGTACTACAGCTTGGGTGATGCGTGCAGTGAACCTGTTCCGAAAGCAGCCAAGAAGCGAAGTTAATTCATCAACGAGCCTGAACGTGACAGAAATCGAAGCTGCCGAAAACATGATTTGCAAATTAGTCCAGCTGGAGTGCTACGCGAATGAGATATCCGACTTGGCAGCGGCGCGCAAACTTAGTAAGCGAAGCTCTTTATACAAGCTGTCACCGTATGTTGATGAAATTGGTGTACTACGACTGACCGGCCGCATCGATGAGGCGGCATACCTACCATACCAAGCGCGACGACCGATTTTGCTACCACCAGAACACGGAGTGTCAGCCTTAGTTGTCAAAGAAGTCCATGAGAGGAACCACCATCAGAATCTCGCAGTAACTATCTACGCCATCAGACAAAGGTACTGGATTCCCAATTTGAAGGCGTTACTTAAGCGAGTACGCCAAAAGTGCCCCATATGCATGGTTGACAGAGCAAAACCACAGCCACCGATGATGGGTCAACTACCGATTGACCGTGTGACCCCGTACGTGCGCCCTTTCACATACACTGGCGTCGATTTATTTGGTCCGTTTCACGTAGCGATTGGCAGGCGTCGAGAAAAGAGGTGGGGCGTCATATTTACGTGTTTGACTGTCCGAGCTGCGCACCTCGAGCTAGCGGAGAATTTGTCAAGCGACGCGTTCATCCAGTGCCTTCGCAATTTTATAAATCGCCGCGGCACACCTGTGAGGATAAGGAGCGATAACGGGACCAACTTCATCGGCGCACAGAAAGAGCTGAAAGCATCGGAGCAGCTGTTTGACACAGATCACATACAGTCAGAAGCAGCAAAACACAATATCGAGTGGGTGTTCAATTGCCCTCTGAACCCTAGCTCGGGTGGCTGCTGGGAGCGCCTAATAAGAGTCGTCAAAGCACTCTTAAATAAAACTTTGAAAGAGGTGGCGCCAAGGATAAGCACGTTGCAAAGCGTGCTAATAGAAGCGGAGAACATTATTAATTCTCGCCCTTTAACCGATTTACCCGTGTCACATGAAGATGACGAGCCGCTTACGCCGAACCACTTCCTGCTCGGCTGCGTAAATTCCACGCAGACACCACACCCTGTTAATGAGCAAATTTGCCTGCGCTGGACTACGGAGTACCTGCCCCAACTTTTGCGTCGTACAAAGTGGCAAGATAAAGCTACGCCACTGAAAGTGAATGACCTGGTGATAGTATGTGATGCAAAGCTATCCCGCAGGCAATGGCAACGAGGCCGTATCACTCAGGTTTTCCCAGCTAAAGACGGGCAAGTGCGAGTCGTAGAGGTGAAAACGGCCGGTGGACTCCTACGTAGGCCCGCATCCCGACTAGCCAGACTAGAAGTTGATGGTGAATGCCAGGAGGATTCACGGGGGGTGGGATGTTAGGCACCCTGTAATATATTTTTGTAGGTGGCAACGCTACCGCCACCGAATTGATGGACAGCAGCTAATACTAGGTTCACACATAAGTCGATTATCCTCATTTTCGAGCTTAACACCCTAATCTGTAATTATAACAAGAGATTAGCCATATAAAATTCGTCCCTTGTTAATCTGTAATTATAAAATAATCTCAGATTTAACCGATAACTTTTCGGTGTCCATCCTAGTTTTATCGATTGTTTTTGCGAAAGAGAGGAGAAATGCCAAATGTAAAAGTAAACAAAAATGTACGCTAGCAAGTAAAAGAGGTTTGTAAAGGTATTTTTAATAAAATGTTAAGTTAAAATATATTTATATTGCTTATTATAGAAGAAAAACGTGATCACGGTGGCACAGAGAAGAAACAAAAATTTTCCTTGAGATGTGAGAATAACAAGCACAACAAATTTGACGGCTAATAATCTGAGATTTGCCTGTGTAAACGGGGTGATTAAAAATCGAGCTTTGATTGAGATAATATTGATATGTGAACATAGTTTAGTTGACAAATGAAAATTCTAGAGATACATCGATGGCAGCTTAAGCGAGGCGCACGAAACACACAAGTGTAAAACGAGTCATATAGCGTATCATTTTATATTCAA